AAATATCTTTCGAAAGTCAAATATAAAGCTTATAAAAGGCAAAATATTTCCCATTTCCTCGACGTCCACAAAAATTTAAACAGTTTTTCACTGAAGGAACTTTTTCTTAATTCCAAACCTAACAGTTTCTCGTCTACAAACCTTGGTCCGCCACGTTCCTGTGGAATTTTTAAATTTATTTATTCAGATTAACTTGCTAATATAGAGACTTTGATTAATTCTTTCTATTTAATGATTAATTTAGTTCTTTGATTAGTAAAAGTAATTTAGCTGTTCGATTATAACCTCATTGCCACAAAGTTAATGCAATATTAGCTTGGCATATCCTCCAACCTTCAAAATAGTTAGACTGCAAATTATACTACACAATATTTTATAAATGTTTCAAGAGCTCCTCAGCATATGTGAATTTTTAAGGATATCGTAAATGAGAACTTGATTTAATTTATAAATATGATAAGTGCATAGCCGAGAACTGCATTAAAGAAACTAAAGATTATTGGAAATGGAGTACTAGCTATTTTACTAAATGATAACCACTCCCACTATCTAAAATGTAAATGATTAAAACACTTCTTCCCGTATTGATAATGGCTATAAAAGATTCATAATTTAATAATTCTGGTAATTATGGTAAATAAAAAAGTAATAAAAATAATTAGCAAATGTATTTTGGTATCAATAAGAATATATTAATGATAACAATAATAACAGTATAATTACTCATAGCGTATTTGAACGCCATAGACATAATAGCTATTGTTATAATAGTAATTAGTGGCGCAGTTTTTTTAATAAACCTTTTTAAAATGGATCCAAAAAGCCTTTAAGTTTTTACTCATGAACTGATTGTTTTAAAAAAATACTTTTTTTTTGGAAAAAGTAAATACTGTAAGGGTGTTTAAATTGACTCTAGTCTTTAAACAACCGAGTCCACCTCTTGCCTATTGCATATTACAAACCACATTATGGGTGAGTGGCCTATAATTCCTCGTAGATTTCTTTGGCACATTTACCCTTTTTTTATAAGCTACTTTATCACAACACCCTACTCAACTTTCCAAAATGGCAAGGTTTCGCTGGTGTTTATTTGACTTTTGCTCAATAACTATTACATCAATCCTAATAAAATTTGACACATCAGTTGTTAACATTATGTATGTACACGTACAATCCAAGTTTCTCTTTTTGTGATAAACCCCTTCTAGACGATGCTAATTTATCGCCGGACAGTCCTCGTATATACAAACTCTAATAACTTGATAGACGTGGACATTTCTAAAAAAATGTACAGAAGTAATGCTTCACACCTGCAACGAAGTAACGAAAAACATTAGCAGGGCTACTTATTTAAGGGCTTTGACAAGTGGAAATAGAGTACTATTACGTAATGTAAAAGTTACAAGGAGAGTACCATGAAACTAAATATTTCTTTTTGAGCAAAAACAAAAAAAACTTTTTAAAAAATATTCAAAAAAAATTTAAATATTTTAATGTGATCCATAACCCAATAATTAGCCTCTGTGTTTGCTAATCGACTTTTTAAAACCAATAAAAAAAAACTTTTGTATAAATAAATTAAACAAAAAAACTAAATTTTTAATAGTATAATAGAGTAATAGTAGAGTACACTTCACTTATTAAAAAATGTGGTTATCCATTTGTGGAAGGATATGTGTTAGTTTAAAAACTGACACTATCAACAATAATAAATTTAAAAAAGAGTGGTAAACTATTTCATAGTAACTAACCCAATTGGGTTATGTATAATAATTTTTATTGAAATATGTCTATTTTAGGTGAAATTTGCTAAAAAAAAAAAAAAAGAAAGATATGGACATTTTGAATTATTATAAACGTTGTAAGGCTCCCCTCACTGTTACAAAGGAGAACGATATTTACTAGTTCTATAAATAAGTAACCTTTAGTTCGTTACTAACAAAATAAAAAATAACTTAAAATAGCACTCCCATAACATTTGTAATTGTTAGCAAGAAGTTATAAACAAATGTAGAATTATTTATTGTTACACTTTCTGCCACAACTAAGGGTTGGAACCTTAAAATATCAAGGTCATTACGCTAAAATTATCTGCTTACTTTCGAAAATGCTAAGAGCAAGAACTTACTTCTCTTTAATAACCCAAATTCCACTAATCTAACTTTTTGATATTTAGTATTACATATTACACTTACTTGAAGTGTAAAAAGTTGGCAAATAACCAAAAAAAAGTTTAAATAAAAAAGCGAAGTATAGTGAAATGGTACTTCACCAAAAAAAATCTTATTAAAAGGTATATATATGTGTATTTTAATAATAAAGATGTAATTAAAACTTTGATGTTTTGATTTGACTGGGAAATTAACTTTTCTATTATTAAAAACTGCATAGCTTCACTAAACGGAGCAACATGAACCTTTATTATACTAGATATTTAGCATAAAAGTACGTCCCATATAATTGTCATTTTTGTTTCTAACTGCCTTAATTAATAAAAATAATCATATTTTTTCCTCCCGTATTAATAGAAAACTTCCCTTGAGGGTTTGGTATTAATTAACCCTATTAATGGAAGGCAAGTAACTTGTTAACCAAAATAAAGTGGACTCCTCTCAAGTAAAATTAAGAAAGAAAGCAATTAAATTGTTTTTGCACTTTAAGCTTGTATTAGACTACAATTTTTGGCACACGATCAATGTATGAAATAGTATTAATAACGCAAAAGGGAGAGAAAGTTAACTTTTAAGGTTGTAATAACTTTAGCTTACTTAGCACAGAACCGTTTAAAAGAGACTGCAGGTATCCCAAAATTATTGCTCAAAATTTTTATGTTGAAATAGAATTTGTAGGTAACAGCAGCTACTGTTATAGCCTAGAAGAATCTGTACTTTAAATTAAGTTAGCCGGCACCAAAACTTATATCGCTAGAATTATTTTATAGCAAGCCTCTTACCTGGTGAAAAGTTTTTCTTTATGTAAAGCGCCGCCTTACTTTAGTTCATGATTAATCTGTTTCAACTCTTGATTGTTCTGTATTTGTATTCAGAGTTAAGTTTTACCAATAAGTGTCTTTTAATATTTTTTGCTTATCTTTTTTTTTTAATCCAGAGTTTGTATTTTTGATTACGCTTACATCGGTTAGTTATAATCTTGGCTTATGAGAACTCTTAACCAATGTTCGTCTGAAACCCCTGTAAAATGCACGAAGTTAGTCAGTTTTACACTACACAATTTGTTAAGTTGATAGTAAAAAGGTTAACCAGTGACCACCTCAATGCTGACAATACCCGATTAGCTATATATCGCCCGTCACTTGATATCCTTGTATTATTTGTATATCTTCAATGCTTCTAAATTGAATGGACCAGAGTTCGAAAGTACTTTAAAGAAACACTAAGTTAGCTTAATAAATTAATTTACTTCCTGTTCCTCTCATTATACCCTTTTTAATTTTTACCATACTAATTTTGTGATATTAGATAGCAAGTGACAGATGTAAGTACAATAAAAATTATTAAACACTAAGACAACACATTCCGGTTTACTACTTTTTTTTTTTTTAACAGAAAAGGCCCAGTTAGTACACAACGTGTACTAATTATAGGAAAAAAAAAAGCTTATTAATTTTTATTGTAAATAAACGTAAACGAAATATAAAACGAAGTAAAAATAAATAATTTAAATAAATAGACTTTCAACATAAAGAAGGTTAGAATAACAAGACAAAAGACAATGAGATATAAAGATAAGATAAAAAAAATTCATTTGGGCTTTTTTTAGTTCTACATAGATACTCACAATTAAGATAAAATTGAGAAAAATCGTTTAATTTAAGATTATTAATGGGTTATTAATTTTAACGGTGAGTTGCATGTCTTTATATTAAACCTCTAAGTAGGTGGTTGACCTATTAAATAGAATATTTTAAATAACATTTTTTAAATTACCTGAGAAATCCTAATATTAAAACTGCATTGATTTTAATATGCTTTTTACAGTTAGTTTACCCTGATCGAGGTATAGAAAAAGACTACTTCCTTATATTTTCATGAAAAAATTTACAGTATTTTTAGTAAACACGTTGAAGGTGCCCTGTGATAATGCAAGCTTACGCACAGCTGCTACCATTGTTTTCTATATTTTCGATTTCTTCTCTAAGGTTACTTTGGGTGCTTAAAGGAAGAGTCCCATCTTATCACATAAATTAATAAAGTTCTTAAAGCTTTTCGATCATCTACATTATGACCCTCTATAATATTTTTATAACTATATTCTCGAAAGCCCAAAGTTCGTAAAAATATCAGTATACAGTTTCTTCAAGTGAGGGGTCTGCGCACATTAATTGTTTATAAGAACGCTTTTTATTAAAGACTGTGAGTTAACTTTCACTGATTTTATAAATATAATTAAAAGATTCACTAATAATAAAATATAAACTTATTACTAATATATTTTAATAGACATCATTACTATTTAATACCAAAACCATTTTGTTACCTTCATAAGCTGTATTATTGTAAAATAAAAATATGTTACTAACATAGGCCGATGTCGAGTCGTCTATATATGGAGGAGAAAAGGAATAATGTTATATAAAAGTAGTTAGTAATCTGTTGCTGTGACATTCATATGCTTTAAAGTTTTGTCTCGGCTATGCGCTTATATATATTTCAAAGATGGATCAAATTCGATTTTACGAGTTAAATGGGGAAAAGCTAAATGTTTAACATAGAGCGTAAGCCCTTATAAATATAAAGGAAGTAAAAATTTTCGTGGTGTTTCATTTCTCTATATTATTTACTCTTTTGCACATATTATCATGGTAGTATTAATAGTATTAAGCTTTTCAGTTTTGCGACTTTAAATATAACCTTATCTTTGAGTCTTAACTTTAAAGAGTAGAATTTATTTCAATACTTTAAAATAAAGTTTTATTTTTAAAGGTCAATTCCTTTCACATCTTAAGCTTTATTTATTAAAAATTACGTTTTTAGTAGTAATTTAATAACTAAGGATTTCATTATGAATAAGTAGCGTAGCCCTCTAGATTGTTATTTTGAGGTCTGGGTGGTAACTAATTCATTGATATTATGCCTTCCAGTCTCAGCTCGCTCTCTTGAGTCTTTAAAAAGGGTTTGCCTATATATTTAATCAGCGATAAGAAAAAATGGATTAAACTTAATTTTTAGTTAAATAGAAATACGTGACTGGGTAAAAACATACAACTAAAAAAAACTAAAAATAATCTTTTAATTTTACAAATATATGTTGTTAAAGAGGTCTAAAGGAAATGCAGCGAATTTAAATGGCAAGCAAGAGCTAAAAAGGCAAAATTTTATTATCTTCCAAAAAAAATTCACTTTCTGAGATTTTTTATTTTTAATAACTCGTTACTTGACTAAGGGCTTAATTTCGACAATAAACTTTATATAGTTGTTCTTCATCTTTGGAAAAAATGTTTGTTACTAAAAATAGATAAAATTGCTTATGTGCTATTATTATAACTACTCACTTTTAAATATGATAATAGAAACTATAATATGTTTAAGTATATGCAGTTTAATTAACTTTCTAATTATTTATATATGAAAACTTTACTTTGCATTCCAATTAAATCTTTGTAAGTCTATTTATAATCAAAAGACAAACAGAATTAGTTTTATACTTTGTAAGCTGTATAACTAAATATAATTTAGTTAGATCCTTAGTACAGAAGCTCCTCGACTCTTGCCAAGCTTCAGTAGTATACAAATTTGTTAAAAATCTGAAGTAACAATATAAATTTAACTATAAGATTAAGAAATACATCCTTTTTGTCTACTTTATATGCCCTAGTTATTGTGTACTGTAGTTATTGCAAATAAAGCTGTTTATTTGTATCTGCATTTTATATGTAGATTAAGTGTAGTACTGTATAAATAATTAAAAAAAATTTCTTGAGTGCAACAAACGAATACTCTTAGCAAAGAAAAATAGCTTAAAACTTCACTTTTTAGTTTTCTCGATGAGCAAATAAGGAGTTAGTGACCAATTATATATTTCCAAAAATTTATATCAAACGGATTTATCTTTTGTTCAACAAAATTAGTTTCATAATTTACAAAAATTTAGTATTTCACTTTAAGATTTATTAGTATTATATAATTGTTTTTTAGATTTTAAACGTCCTGAACTAATAATAAAAATTTAGTTGTTCACTTTGAGAGTTACTAGTACAATAAAATTACATAGAGATAATATCTTATAGTTAAAAATTTCGTAAAGCATTCTTTTCCCACAAAGTTTTGTATATTTATCAAAAAAATTTAAATTTAAAATTTATTAGTATAATGAAATTTAGTAATGATAATCTTTTTTTAAAAGTTAAAATGTTAAAAACAAATTTAAATATAACCAAGTTTTATTTTTTATAAAAAAAATTTTTACTTAAATAAAATTTTATGTGAATGTTATAACAATAATATTTATATTAAAGGTTTCTATGGCGATGCCTACAGTAACTTACATTTAATATAAAATAATATAATACCATAAAAAAGTTTACCTTGGATCTTTGTCAAAAAAAACAATGATAAGGGTCACGTTGTCGGTCGATCCCAATTTAATGGAATAATCAACTAGAGTTTGCGCCAAATTGACGTATTGGTTGGATGGATGCGATAAATATTCCCGAATAAAAGAGATTATTTCGTTGGAGTTTATTACATCCCAAAGCCCGTCACAAGCAAGAACAGCAAAATCCTCATCTATAAAATTTATAAAATTTTATTTTTACTTTTAGCACAAGAGAATGTAAATAAGGTATTTTTAATTTATAGGAATAAATACATATATCTTTTTGGGTATATATGTATTATCTTGAGTTAAGTGCAAACTATTTTAGTAGGAGATTCATGGGGTATGAAGCAATAAATAATAAAAGCATTATGTCTAATAATTAGTTTACAAAAGAAATGTTATTACAAACTAAAGAACAACTTTAAAAACAAGGATTAGGCTACATTTAAGTAATGCTGTTTTACTATGTAATAATAGGAATAATATGTTAGATTATACTTCCTTCTAGTGTTATGCTTGACACGTCTGCTTTACTTATAATAAACTTTTTTAACTGGGAGTCGCCTATAGCGCGAGAAACAGAAAGAACTCCGTTAACTCGCCAAGCTCCAAAATGCACGACAATCCCTCCTTCCTTTTCTATCCGCTTTTTCTCGTCCTTAAGTCATTAGAATTATTACAATCATCATATCCTTTATATTTTAAGAAAGATAATATTATGTGCCTCTCTCTCTGGTCGGTGAGGACTGCAGATATCTTCTAGAGGATAGCCATCTCGACAAATAAGAGCCTGAGAATCACCAAGCCATGCGACATAGACTTTTCTTCCTCTCAAAAACATTACAATTCCCGTGCAACCGCTTGTAGTGTTCTTTTACAATAGTAATAGTAATAGTAATAGTAATAATAATAATTACAATAACCACAACAATAATAATAACAAAGTAAAGGAAGGTACGCCACATCTAAAAAAGCAAGTTAGCTCATAGGCGGTGGTTCGGCTACTGCAGAGCAGTTGTATTTTTCAAAAATTTTATTTAAATATTTGCTAGCTACTTTTATTACTACTATTAATAGTAATTTTGCTTTATATAAAGATGCAGAATATATATTATATGTAATTGGCATATATGAAAAGTATTTTCAAATAGAATTTATATTCCCGAGAATATATAATGGTTAATACTATTATAAATTTGACGTGTAAATATACTATATTTTATATTTATGATTTAATAATTAATGTTTTTAAAAAGTTTAAAAACTGAAAATTTACTTATAAAAGTTATTTATGTTATTCAGTTTTGCATACTTTTTTAGTAAAATAATTAATAGCTATTCATAGTCACTTCTTACTACAAATATCTATAGAAAAATTAAACATTAAATTAATTAAGGGCTTCTTGGCATCCTTATAAAATTTTATAAATGGATTCTGTTATTAAAAGTTTTTATTACTCAACCTTATAATAGTGATACATCGTAAAAAGTACTAAAACTTATATTAAGTTTACTAATATACTTGTTTTATTTTTCTATGTACGTTTACATTTTTTCTTATATAAAAAGTTTTTATTGTTTTTATAAATTTGATAAGGGTAATTGTAAAAATAGTTTTTAGTTTAAAAATTAATATTATTAAAGTTAAGATAGAAACAGTCCTCTTTTTCTTTTAATTTATGAATTTTAGTAGTAACAAATTTTATAGTATGCTTCTTTATTTAATTATTGAAATTTATTAATAAAATTTTTTATGTTACTTATCTATTTTAAAGCGCTTAAGGTAAAAATTGAGAATTAATTTTAAATCTTTTTTTATGTTTTATACAAACGTCTCCTGAAGACAAAAATTTTAATAAAATTTATTACAAATCCCTTTTTTTTAAAAGTTTGAATGTGGAAATACTTTGTATACTCTTTTTGTTCACAGTAAGCAAAGCCCTTCTAGTAAACCATTGTTTTTTAGTATATTCTTATTATTTCTAATAAATTTTTGTTAAAATAACAATTATAATAAATAACTTGAATGTAAAAACAATTAAAAATAACATATTGACTTCGATAGCGGAGTTCTCTAGAAACATTTTGTCTGTCTGGGCAAAAGCCTCTACTAAAGCGGAGGCAACGTCGTCTTTAAATAATTTGTGATGAATTAAGTTAAAATGAAGGTGAATTTTCGCAAAATTGGCAGCTTCTACGCCCGCGTGGCCGTCAAAGATAGCAAAGTAAGACTGTTTTTCGTAATTTTCAAGGCCAAATTGCTCATTAAAGTGCGGAATAATCACGTGCTTGTCCTCCATGGTTGTTCTAATGAAAATTGTATATAAAAGTTTAGTAAGGAAAAGGTTTAAATAGTAAGGTAAACGATATTTAAGGCTAATGTAGTAGTATAGCGTTGATGTTATCAATTATATTAAAACTGTTATTGTGTTCAATACATCAAACAGAATATAATATATATAAAAGTAAATATTGACAAATTATAAAATAAAAAAGTCCACCGTTATTCGGGAATTAAGTGCATATAAAAAACAGCTCCGAATATAAATGAATATTCTACAGCTCTATCATTTTCTGATCCGTTGCAGTTTACTGCCGGTTTCACTTTCGATAAATATGAAAACTTTTTTTGAGATCGTTTTTTAAATATTATTACAAATCTGCTACTCCTATTATTAATTATTTATTTTTATCATTAGTGTAAATAGATCTAATTTTAAATTAGTTCTACTGAATTATAGCGAATTTCAAAAACCCTTTATAGTAGGCCTTACCACCCCAACCAATTGTTTTTTTTAGGCTAAATTTTTTAAATTTAAATTTATATAAAAATTTAAAGCTCCATAAATTTAATTATAAAAAATATAAAGTAAAATTTCTTTTCTTAATAAAAGCCATATTATTAAGTTTTGAATGTTTATTGGTCTATGTGGGACACTTGTAATATTTTTATTCAACTCTAAGTTTGGAATTTTTGTTCTTCAAATGCATAATTGTTTGAAACCGTTGATGTAAAAAATAATTTAGTACATGCTTTACTTAAATTTATATGGTACAGAATTTTTTAATTAGTAATAAAAATTGTGCCTTCGTCCTTGATCGCAAGCAAAAAGTACTTCACCAAATTCAGTTGTCCGCTCTTCAGATCTTTCATAAATATAGAAATGGGAAAAATTAATTAAATATTTAAAATAGAATTAGCTATTAAGATTGGTTATCAGTTAAATATACTAAATATTGTGTTAGTTGATTTTAATTTAACGAAGTATACTACTTGTAGCTATTATTACTTATCTTTTAATTTCTATATAGTAGGGTAATATTATTGCGGTGACTGCTCAAATAAAAAAAAATTTCAACAATTTGCACAACGTAAAAGGCCACTTAAAAATTAATAGAGAGGTTGCTTTAACTAAAATGTGACCGAATGTAACAAAACTTAATTAAGCAAAGATCCTTTCTATAAACTAGGAGACTTTTTTAAATTCATACTGCTTCCAATGTTGGGGTTATAATCTTTTTAAAACGTACAATAATATGTGAAGACTTTTACAAAAGAACTTTATAGTTTAGAAGATTTTACTATCTTTCTAACTTTTAAGTTACAATCGCTCTAAGGCGTTTCGCTTGTATGAGAGGGTTTATTATAAATAAACTCTGATATTAATTTATTAAAACTAATTTTAATTTTATTTATAAAGTTCTTAAAATAACTTAATATTTATATATTTACAAAGTCCTTAGCAGAAGAGATATTTATAATCTTTATTAGATAAAATCATATATAAAAACAATACTCTCTTGTCGGTGTAAAAGTTTTGTAATCTTCTATGCAAGAATCGACTTTCTCAAAAATTGCTGAAGCTATTTTTACGGGGTGATACAGCTTTTCATAAGAATCTGGAAAGAAAAAACAAATTTATACAAGCAATAGCGAACGATAGCAGTTAAGACATGTTTTAAAGCTTTTCAGTTACTATATAATAAAATTGAGATGCTTATTTAAGTATAAGTATAATAATGAAGTTCCAGACTTTTTTATAAGGGTAAGCTATATAACAATTACTAAAAATTAAAAAAATAAAATAGTAGGCTTTTAGCAGTTGCACTCATAATTGGTGTAAAGTAGCAAGTACATCGAAGATCGGGATCTTTTTCCTTACAAACAGGAACTTCAAAATTTCCCAAAAGCTCTTTAAAAGTTGTATAAATTTTTCCTGAAAGAAGAGCAACCGAAAAATTAGCTCTTAAGGAAGAAACAGAATCTTCTTCGTTGTTTTCAAAATATTTGTAGTATCTTGAAGTTAAACAAATTATTTATATTTAACTAAAGGAAAAGCCGACGTTAAATAAAATTTAAAAAATTATTTATACGAGTACTATGAATATTATTATTTTTTATCTATTTTATGTTACACATAACAAACTTCTTGTTAATGTATTCCGTTGTGAGTCTGCTTATTTCAGGAAGAATATAGTTTTCATTCAAGACTAAACGAGGTCTTATCGGTAACGATAAAGCCTGATCAAACCAGTTATCACAATCAATGCTACCTAAAGTAAATAAATATGTGCTAAGTTTAAAGCAAATAATTGAAGGTTGTCTTTTCCTTTAAACTAATTAAAAGCTTACCTACAATTCTTGATAGAAGTGCTTTTTGAGTTTTCCTCAAATCTCTTATGCGTTTCCTTGCTAGCATTTATTTACTAATACTTTCTATAGAGTTAATATTTTGGGATGTATGATATTAAAATTACTGCATAGTTACATTACTCACACTCTTACCTGTGCAAGGTACAGTAAGTACACTACTGTACTCTATCTTGGCATGAGCGCAAATGAGGGTAGCAGTCTTGCATTGGCATCATTTTAAATTTACGTAAGTTGGCGAGATAGCCAAAAAATTTATTTTTAAGATATTTGTTAGCTTAATAATTTACTTTTAATAACTTCTTTTTTCTCGAATAAATTTATAAATTCTAAATTATTTTTGGAAATTTTTATGTAGAAATAGCCAGCTAGCTATTATAAACTACACCCAAATAACGTCATTGGCCTTCCTTATCAAATATATTAACTGTTTATTTCATTATTACGTTAAACAAAGCTAGTTTTTTTTTTTTTAATATATAAGGCCTTAATCTATCAATAAGTTAATTTAAGTTTGGTTTAGTATTAGTATGAGTTTTCTGAGTCATCTTGTTACGATCATGTCGTAACCCTCAATTAACTATTATTGCTAACCCAGCACGCACACTTTGTGTTCATGAGGTAAAGTCTTCGGACATGTTTTTCGTCTTCACCCTGGTTACTTTTTGTTTTTCTATCCTAATAGTGTCTAATTTAGAGTCTGTCTAATTAGATAAACTTAAATAAGCTTGAGATTACACTCACTATGTAGTTAGCTGTGATGCACAAACTAAGGAGGCGTCCACCACCATTTTAGAACGCGATTTTTGTAGTATTTATAGTCTATGAATATGATTGCTTAAAAAATAGGCACAAGCAGCAGGGTTAGAGACCAGCGGGCGTTTAGCTATGGAAACTCTTTTTTTAAATGCAATTTTCTTTTACTGCATAGTAGGGGATTTAACACGGCTATAGCTTTTCTGGTTTTAAAACGACTTTAGAAAGATGTGGAGTTCAGCTTAGTCGTTCGTCCACGCACAAGTTTGAGATATCTAACCATCTCACTTCGAGGATTTGACAGTTTACTAGAGCTCTAGGTAAGTATCCTTCCTTTTGTTATAATTACAAAGCTACCTTTCGGCTCGTTAATTATTAACCTCCCCGTTGAACACCATGTCTCAATTACTGGCAACCGTATGCTTTTAAACACCAGACAGGAGGATTTTGAACTATATTATAAGGCTGTGTCGTCTACGTATTGAGCCTAGTTTCTATATTTTCAACAATTGTGGCATGTCGCACATGTAGATCGAAAAAAAGTAAAGGGGGTACTAAGAAACCTTGTGAAACACCAGCCTTTAATTAACTAAAAGCGGGCTTCAACGAACTTACTCTAACGGAAAAGGTTCTATTCGTTAGGTATGAGGTGTACCACCACAGAAAAGTAAAAAGGAAGCTAGATAGTCGTGCCCTATTTTACCGAGGAGCCTTCTCAATATCTAAAAGACCACACGTGTTACTTTGTCTTATCAAAAAGCTTTTGTAGCTTCTCTCGTAAGCTCAATTATCTAGTGAATTGTAGGGTACTTAACTCGCAAACCAAAGTGAACATTAGGCAGGACGCACATACCATTCCCAAATTCTTATAATTTACAAAGGACCCCGCTTCTGCCTCCTTTCCTAGGCAAAAAACAAGCTTATTAGGTGATAGTCTTTAATAAAACAGTTAGAGGGACTAGTTTTAGGAATAAAAAGCACTTAAGCCAGTTTTTACTGTTTGGGGAAATAGGCTGTGGTAAATATTTGATTAATTAATCTTAAAATCATAGTGATAGCACGTGGAATTAAGTTTTTAAGCATTATTGGTATTCGAGGCTTTTCTAATATTAAGGGATTGGATAATAGTTTTAAGTTCCGCACTGGTGGAAGCTTAACCTTGTTACATATGTTAGGTCCTAAAAGGTAAGAAGTAGACATGGTGGACACATGCTTAAAGCTATGCGGATTCTAATATATGTGAGTGGGCTTCCAGGGCGACAGCAAATACCTCTACTATTTCGGAGGACGTGGTAGCTGAGGCTTCCACACCATGAATGTGTGGTGTTATGCCTCTAGCCTCCGTAGATTGGATAATTCTTGTTAATTTACTTAAAGAATTATTATCTGACCCAAAAGACTATATTTTTTGCTAGCTTTTAAGAAAACAAGCTTTTAATTTCTCCTTAACCTCAAAAACTGATCTTTTTGTAAAGCTTTCTGTCGCTTAGAAACAAGAGTTCAGACCTCTTGTTTTTGCCTTCTTTTAATTTGAGATCTAATATGGCCTAGTAGGTTATATTGATGGTTTTTTGTGGGCCTACTATAGTTTACCTTTATAGCTCCTTCCATTGGCACAACAGCTGTGTCTAAATCAAGTTCTTTGCCAATGAAGTGCTGCATGATGACTATGCTTTTGTCTAAATATTCCAGAACTGTGGGTATAACTGGTTACCTTTTTAACCCAAGTTGCCGAGACCGACTAATCTCCCATCTCTATGAGGATGGGATTAGGATCAGGAGAGAGTACAACTAGCATATTGACGAGGACAGGTACTTAAATAATTAGTGTTACTGTGGCGATTTTGGACCAATAACTATTAAATTTTTTTGCCGGCTATTTCGGAAAACCTTATTTCATTGTCACTCCTCCGCCTTCTTTTCCACAAAGGGTTTTTAAATTTTAACTCTCCGGATATTAAAACCCCCTCAATTTTAGGCATAACCTTGTCGAAAGATTTGTAAGTAGCAGTCATACTGACTATTCCAATGTAACAGAGCTCTATATTTACGCAGACACATCTAAAGTTACCTCTATACAATAGAGGGCTGGGTGGGTAATGTTTCTTCCAGTAAAGATAGTCAGGTCTGATCCTCCAGCATCTTTCCAGTCGCATTTGTGAACAGAATAGTTAGGTACCTTAAATCAGTTACCTTCCTTCCGATGTGTACCAGATGTAAAATTTTGTCCAGGTTCATTCTGGCAATAAGTTTCTGAAGTGACTCCATTTAGATAATCTAAAAATTATTTCATTTCTAAATTAACTCCTTAATGACCTTTGCTAGTGATAGCTGATCGCATTGGTTAAGTGTTGCTAAAAACTTATTCCTTAGGTCGTTTAAGGGACTGCATTAGTTGATTCAGGTTATAGTTCTGTTTAGTACGCTGTGCATAGCTTATATTTTCTTTGATGAAAAACTTTAAGGGTTTTGGAAGCTTTAGTTGAAAAATTGTTATGAATTTTTCTCAAAAGTGCATATTTCTGGTAGTTCTGCATCTTCTACAATTTGAAACATGCTTTTCTGGGCAATTAGGGCAGGTAGGCTTTTAATTTTCGCTTTTAGTGCAGGACGCCAACCCTTGAGGGTCATTGCATTTAACGCATTTGTAGCTTGACTTACAGTATGATTCTGTATGTCCAAATAGTTGGCATCTATAGCACTGGCCAGTCCTCCCGCTTCTTTTTAGGGGTTCAACCGACACGGCAATATACTCAATACTTTTCAAATTTTAGCTCTTGCTTCGCATTTAATACGCCTTGACGAGTAGAGGTAGGGGTTGTCTTTCCATTTCAAGGAGCGCATTTAATTACTTCAGACGGGTCGAACCGTTAAAACATAAGAACCGCCTTTACAGTTTCTGTATCCATTTCTGCGAAAATCGCTCGGATATCCACTTTAAACTCATTTTCTATAGGCAGCTTGTACCTGCAGAGTTTCCAATCTCCAAACTTTCCTCGTCTGACGACTACTTTAGTTTATATATCTCTCCCCTAACTTAATTTTTTTTTTAATACACCCATTTACTAAAATTTGTTTCCTCTAGGTTTACAATTCTCGATACTTATTTCAAATCCCTCCTTTAAGCTAAAACCTTAGAGCTTTGTTTACCGATTAATATTATAATCCTTGTTAAGCAATGAGCGCACCACTGTCCAATTTCGTGACCAAAGTGTATTTTATCATTAATCAGTTAGGAACTTAGTTGCTCTATACATGTCTTCAATTATTTGTCTAGCTTGGCGACGCTATTAAATGCAAGACGCCGGACCCTGGAAATAACACCATGTTCAGAATAGCAGAAGTTCTCGCTGCTCCACGCTAACTATAGCTTATATAAATAATTTTACTTGATCTTCGCAAAATTATGTGCTTTTTTTACTTATATGTTAACAAGCAAGAAACAAAGGTTTATAAATATAAAGAAATAACTTTTACTATAATACTAAAATGGAGAGAAACGCCCAAAGAGAGCTAACAGAACGGCCACGGCTAGTGAACAATTTTCTAATAAAAGTGTTTAAAGTGAATTATGAAAATATTACTCTTTTAATAATCCCTTAAAGAAATATAGTTGGTTTCCAAAAAAAAAAATTGTGTTTAAGTTAACAAAACCTTTTGTCTACTGTAGCACTGTTTAAATAATGTTGTATTTGATAAAAATTGTTTTTCATGACACGAATGTTTTTCAAAACGCCCTATCCCCTTTTAAGTACAATATTCTAAAACTGTGGTGTAAAATGACAGTTAATTTTCATAAGTTTGAAGAGCAGTCTGAAACTATAAATGCTTGTTTCAACACACTTGTCAACCCTTTTTATTGATATATAAATCTTAAAGCCTATTTGCCAAGTCGAAGTAAAAGTGCAGGATGAAGCGAGTAAGTAATAAGTAACCATTACGGTAAACAGTATTATGAAGTGCCGCGTTAAAGATGAAAAAATTATTAAAATACATAACACTACGTCTCACTTTTTTCATTGGCATACTTTAATCCTCGTAGCAGTGTAACTGAAAAAATTATGCTGTAAACCACCTCATGTGCTTAATATATTCCAGAACATTTTCAATATAAAAGATTCTCTATATGTGTGCATCTCTATTTATAACAAACTTTAATGTAGAAAAATTATAAAAAATATTTTAAAATATACTAAATGGCCTCATGAAGCTTATTAATATCAGAACTCTTGTTAATTTAATAATTTAGGCGTCCCTGGAGCAGTACACTTATCCGTAAAGACTTCAAGTTTTATTTTTTATTTTAACTACAAAAAATAAATTTTGGAGTAGCTTATTTTTATTTAATGAATACACATATTAAAAAATTCACATATATATAAGGAAGTAAAATAAAGAAATCTTCTACAAT